AGCGTTTAAGAAGTGTTGTAGCTCCCAGTGGGTTGCTGTGGGCCCGGACAGCCTTTTTACAATTCCGTTTTCCAATTAACCTTCACATGTCCCTCAGCACTGGGTCCTGGAACTGGCTGGGGGGGGGCCCGGGGCACAGCCTCACGGCAAACTTCCTGCGGGTGGTCAGCTTCCCGAAGGCCCGAGTCATGAAGGTTGAGCAACATCTGATTTAGCCACTTGGGTGGATGACCACGTTAATCGTTCAAAGGACGAGTGAGAAGCGTCGGACACGTCGAGAAGATGTCCGAACCTGATGGAGAAGCCATCAGCAGCAGCCTTCTGTAATTCTACTGGCCGAATCCTGATTATGACAACTGGACTGGCTCAAAATCCGCTGGGCTTGTGTCAGGACATACCAATGGCCCCACCCCCTGCCTGCCCGTTTTTGCATCATTAATAACATTAGCCAGTTTAAAATGCAAATGCGAACGGTTGCTTAAGACCACCCAGATCCTCAAAAAGGGGCCTGCTGATTGCAGATAAACAGAAATGAAGAGCCGGGGGAATTCCTTTCCCCTTGCAGGCAAACTGGCGTGCGAGGGTGAGCACCGCGATCTCCTCGGGAAGGCAAAGTCCTGGTCACCCCCTTCCCCCAACCACGGGCACACACGCGAAAGCCGAAAGGTGACACATCGGAGCGCCGGGTCTAATCTCGAAACAAGACTCACGGCATTTGCTCTCAACAGCTGGTGAGACTGGCGCCGGAGCCGGGAGATAGCGGCACGGGGAAGGCTGCCGAGCATATGGGCGCCTTAAAGGCTCCATCTCCGCTCAGCTGGCCAGGCTACCCCCGATCCCCCAGGCCTCTCAGATCTCAACACATTGCCATCGTATCATAACAACAGATGCACCCATCCATCTATCCATCCATCCACCCACCCTCCACATCAACAACTGAAGGAACCTCACCATTGCCAAAATATGGTGACATAAGGACAACGGCAGCAATTAGATGGGTCATTTTTCCGGCAATTACGCCCCCAGGGCATTCCCTAGCGGAGCGCTCGGGCCCAAATGACAGAAACTGCGTCACAGCAGGAAATGCGAGGATGCGAGGTCTGGCCGCCGGCCAGTTCGGGGCCCGGTCGTTTCCCCGGTCATTGCTGGCGAGTCGCATCATCTGCAAAGTATCTGCTGTGCAGCTGGCAGTGCTGTGCCTCGCTCGTCCTGCAAGGCCCCTCACAAACAGGCGGGCGGCCCCCTCCTTCAGTTTACAAAGGGGGGTGGGGAGGGGGGGGTGCCAGAGTAAGGTTCAGGGGTGAACGCAGTCAATCAACAAGACAAAGCAAGCAAAAGTAATAACTGGTGTTGGGGTTAATGTTGTGCTGTGAACTAAAGGATGCAGGTTTGAAGCTTAACACCACTGGGGCCATCTGGCTGTGGTTAAACAATGAGGTCACTCTGCTAAAGGCTCAGAGAGGAGGCTCACCCTGATATTCTACTCATTAATTATCTTCCTCTCAACAGTAGCTGAATAGATGCAATGCTGGGGCAAGTTTCTCCACCAAGGAGCTTAAAAGGGAGCGTGTTCCCCCCCCACCCCCCCGAGCGGGGAGCCCGGGGCCCACCCTGGGGTGAGGGAGGGTGCTCAGCGAGGACCAACAAACCACCAGCGACCTGGAGCTGGGGGCTGCCATGGACCCCATCCAAAAAGCTCCTGCTGGGACTCTTAGGAACCAGCCCAGTTGTCACTGGGATGCATTAAAATGTGCTGCCATTCCGGGAATCTCAACAGATAAGTCTTGTGCATATTTATAGACCTGGTGTTTCCGTGGCCAGTTTCCCCCCCACACACAGGACAGATGCCCAATATTCACAGAGACAGCTGGGTTGACCTTTGTTGCACGTGTGGATCCCAAATCTTCACAACTGGCTTGCTTTTTAACCCTAACACTTCCCCTCCCAAATTAGCAGTCCGGGGTGGGCCCATGGAGCCAGTAACCGCCTCTTCCACCACAAGAAACTGAGGCTGGTCCCAGGAACCACGGTGGGGGGGGGGGCACCCAGGATGGGACAGCAGCCAATGAGAAGGTTTGCACTCTGACAGTCAGCCAATCACACCTAAGATGCTGGAAACGACAAAGGGTTTTAAGTGGCTTTTAGTGCCAGGAGCCATCCTAAAAGGTCTGAGGATTCTGGGCTGCCGTATAAAGGAGATTTTGTCCCCATCACCCCCTCAAAAATTCCTGGTTTTGAATAAACGATCGATGAAGACGGGTGGGTGGGAAGCGTGCATCTCCAGAGGCCCATGCAGAGAGCATTCTCATGAGCGCCCCGACACACATGCTGTGATGTCATCCCACAGTTCAAATCCCAGGACAGGACAGTCTGGGATCGGTGTACATAGGGTTAGGGACCATCTTTAAAACATTCACCACTCCTCAATTAGCCTCGTGTTGCAGGACGACAAGGTAACACTTTCGCTGAGGGACGTGATAAATCCTTTATTTGGCATTTGCACACATACAAGTACATTGAAATTCTTCTCCCTTCTATAGCTTCCCCAATGTGCAGCATCCCTGTAGCTGGGGGTTAAGGGCCTTGCTCAAAGGCACACGGATATATGACCATTCCGCCGAGGCTGAGGCTGGGGCTCGAACCGGCGACCTTCAGATCACAGGCACAGAGACTTAGCCGACTGAGCCACACGCTGGTCCAAAGCCGGTTCAGCAAACCCTTGGTTAACATCACCATACGGTTTGATAAGTACATTCTCCCTCCCCCCTAGACTTCCCCCTCTCGCTGTGTTTCAGATTTATGCTCCACAAAGGAACATTAACTGAAACAATCCATGCAGCCTGAGGGCAGAGGTGTCCCTCTTTAAAGGGGCATTGAAGGGCAACCCCCTCGGGTTCTCCCTACAGCCCCAGGCATGAGGCCAAAGCCTCTGACAGGCAGCAGGGACTCCGCGAGAACAAACAGGGAAATCGGTGCCAGCTGTTTCGCCAAAGCCGAGGGAAACGTATCACGCTCTGTGTTTTTTTATGGGGTATGAAAGAGAGGGAGGGGCATCCCGTTGCTTGGCAAATGGCGAGCATGATTTCCCAACTTTCATGTGGGGTCTCTTCAGGCGGTGAGGAAACCAGGCAAGAATTTGCTTTTCTTTCCCTCGTTCAGCTGCTTTCCTATGGGCCAGACTTTTGTTTTAAATCAAATCCGTTTATACTAATGCAGGATTTAGCTTCGCCTAGCAGAAAACAACAGCCAACGGTATCAATATTGACTTGCACCGTGGTGATCACCTGGGTCGCCTCATGACGTCCGTATCCAAGGCCTCGGACCTGCTTTGCAATCGCACTTGGAGAAAGAAAAAATTGGAGAAAGAAAAAAAAAAAAACACAGAAGTAACCGCCTTTCACAATTCATATCATACCAGGAGGAAACCTCAACTGGTGATCTTGCTGCCAGCTACATCCCTAAAAAACACAGTGACAGAAAAGCCAGGTTTCAGTGATCTCGACACATCGTGTTTCTGTCCCGAGACTATTGCATATGAACAAATATTTCAGACACAGAAAAATCCATCTGGAATATATACACCAAAGTCCCAGTGACACTTTGAACTCAGGTAACTGCATGAAGATCACAATCTTTCTTACATTTTCAAAAACAGGAAAATACCAGACAGGAATTTGGGGGGAACAAAAAAAACGGACTTTCTCTCTCTCTCTCTCTCTCGATAGAAGTATGTTGACTTAACCCACAAAAACTTTTAATTGCGCGAGCCTCTGCATTTAACAGAACAAGCCACAGCAATCAGCAGACTCCAGCAAACTCACTGCCCTTCCTGGCCTCAATTCACACAGCACAGTCAGACAATGACATCCCCAATGATCAGGACAATGCAACACAATTACCTCCATGCTAATTTTCAGCTCGCTCTCCTTTCCTTCAGCTCTGCTGACCGTAACCAGATCAGACCTTTTCTGTCCTGACATCAGCTGGACCTTCCGCATTTACACTCGGACTATACACATTGTTACTCTATAAACTGGGACAGTGCTGTTTTGGACTTCCTTTGCCGGCCCCTAAGGATGGGCTCCCCCTTTCAGTCTGAACGTTCCTTCCATGGTTTCTTCTTATTAGGGAGTTTTTCCTTGCCACTGTCACCTCTGGCTTGCTCACTGAGCGCTTTGGGCAGGGACAATGTAAAGCTCTTTGACATAATGTAATATTTTTTAAAAATAAGTATATTGTTTAATATTGTTAAAATGTAAGTGCTATATAAGTAAGTTCAACTGGAAAAAAAATGTTTACAAACCCAAAATACCACACTTTTTCCCTTCTACAGATGAGGGCTTAAAATCACTTTGACACGTTCATGCTTTATTACCTCCTCCGTTTCCTGTCAGGTAAAACCATCAAGTGCCGTGACATCACCGGAGAACCAGCAGGGCGGCGCAGTAACATGATAAGGCAGCTCGGAGCCGGTAATAGCGGGCAACAGAGAGGCGGCTGCTCAGACGACACGTACAAGTGACATTATTCCACAGAATTCCTTTTATTTTTTTCCAAATACTCACACAAAATGGCTGCAGGAGGACGTCTCTTATTTCCTCCCAAAGCCAGACCTAAGTCTTGGCAGGAAAACAGAAGGCAAACTGAGAGCATCTGAAGTCTGCCTTGACCCAGGATGACATTTGTCTCTCAAACATGTCCTTTACAGGCGAATGGAGGATGTAAGCACACACACACACAGACCCACAGGGCATGCATGGCGCACACACACACAAACACGCACACACACACACACAGACCCACAGGGCATGCATGCGTGCACACACACACAAACACGCACACACACACACACAGACCCACAGGGCATGCATGCGTGCACACACACACAAACACGCACACA